CACTGGAATTGGTGCGATTTTATTGCAGAATAATAAACCAATCACATTCTTTAGCAAGGCCATGGCAATGGGACATCAGCATTTACCAACTTATGAAAAGGAGCTCATTGGTCTCGTTAAGGCCATCAAACACTGGCGCTCTTATTTATGAGGAAAGCACTTCATAGTTCGCACTGATCACTATAGCTTGAAGTTCTCATTGGAGCAAAAACTATTGACACCACCACAACAACACTGGTTGGGAAAAATCTTGGGCTATTCATTTTCAGTAGAATACAAGGCTGGTCGATACAACTCTATAGCCGATGCTCTATCCCGAAGAGATTCTAATGGGGCTGTCCTCGCCATATCCATACCGCAATTGAGCCTATTAGATGAAATTCGTCATGAACAACAAAATTCACCTGAAGTCCAAAGTTTAATCTCTAGTGTCTAAAAAGGTACTGCTATAGAACCATGCTTCAAACAAGGGTTGCTATTCTACAAACATCGGGTTTATTTAGCCCTTAATTATCCTTCTATCCAGACAGTCATGACTGCCTTACACAACCAAGGGCATGAAGGGTATCAAAAAACTCTCTTCCGCATTGTCAAAGATTTTCACTGGAACGGCATAACACATCATGTCCGTGACTTTATCCGTGCTTGCAGTATTTGCCAACGTCACAAAACAGAAACTTTGCAACCTGCTGGTCTTCTTCAACCGTTAACAATGCCTAAGCATGTATGGTCTGACATTTCATTGGACTTTGTGGAAGGCTTGCCTAATTCACATGGTAAAAATGTCATTTTGGTGGTTGTGGACCGTTTCTCTAAATATTGTCATTTATTGCCAGTTGCTCACTCATATTCAACTGTTAATATTGCAAGACTCTTCTTTGACAATATTTTCAAATTACATGGGTTACTTGAAACAATGGTGAGAGACAGAGATGTCACCTTTACAAGTGCATTTGGGAAGGAACATTTTCGTCTTAGTGGCACCAAGCTATGTTTCAGCTCCACTTACCACCCCCAATCAGACAGCCTAACAAAAGTTGTCAACCGAACTGTGGAGATGTACTTAAGATGTTTTACCAATGCTCATCCTACCAAATGGATGGATTGGCTGTCTTGGGTGGAGTATTCATATAGTACTAGTTTTCATTCTTCACTACAAACCACACCTTTTGAAGCTGTGTATGGGTGTCCATCGTCGCGCCTGCTGTCCTATTTGTCCTAGAATTTTCAAATTGGATGCTGTGGATCAGGCCTTACAATCTTGAGATATGATCCTTAAATCATTAAGGCAGAATTTGTTGTATGCCCAACATGAGATGAAAACCATTTATGATTCCAAGCACCGTAATATTGAATTTCAAGTAGAGGACAAGGTTCTCTTACGATTAGAGCCATATCGATAACTCTCCTTGGCTAATCGTCGTCACCAAAAACTGCTGCCAAGGTTCTATGATCATTTCACAATTTTGCAGCATCTTGGACATATGGCTTATAAGTTTGTCTCTTGTCTAAAAGTTTTTCATGAGGGGGACAATCCAATGGCTGCTACACTCCCTATGGATCTTCCAGCAACACCCATGCCACTACCCTTGGCTGTTCTTGACCGTCGAGTCAATCGAAACATTCAAGAGGTCTTGATTCATTGGCAAGACACTTCTCCAGCAGAGGCATGTTGGGAGACTGTTTCATCTATGAAAGAGCGCTTCCCACACTTCACGCTTGAAGACAAGCGTGATTTGAAGGGAGTAATGTTAGCACATCAGTAAATCCCTTAGTTTACAAGCGATTCACACATGATAAGTATAAACTAAATCAACATATCTGATTGGTTGCTAACAGTTTATTGTTAACAGTTTCATTGTGATTCCTATTTTTATTGTTAGTGGTAGTTTTCCATTTCATGTTGTTAGAGGTTGAGTCTCCACCCTATTTTATTGTTAGTGGTAGTTTTCCATTTCATGTTGTTGGAGGTTGTGTCTCCACCTTTCCACTTTCTTGATTTAAGGGTGGTTATTCCACCAAGCTGTAGTTAAAAAAGGAGTGAAGTTAATAAAAGAGGGTTGTTCAGTATCTATTCAAGTTTTTGAATACTTAAAACTCAAGAGATCTGCAGGTTCTCTCTAACGAGCCAGCACTACGACCATAGGTCGAAAAAAGAAACCTTCCACCCAAGTACCCAGGGTACCTCAAACTAAACCAAACCCTTCCACACACCATCCCATAACTCGACCCGTTTCAAGGGACCGTATCAGTTTAACTCGTCAAAAAGTTTACTTTCAAATAATTAGACTTTTATGAGGCCAATTGGGCTCACATCAATATATATTTGGCTCTTTAAAAAAAAAATGGGCAAAATGTGGCTGTCACATAACTTCACTTCTGTAACAATGACTTCAACTTTCCACTCTTACAGCTAGGAGAGCATCATATTTCAACCTAGATAATTTAACAGAATATAAGAAGACTTCACATGTTATATACTAATAAACTCAAACAGACAACAGTGCAAACAAAGGCACATTGTCATTCACCATGAGAAGAAATGAAAGTGTTGTCTACAAATTCTACATGACAATTACTTACTGGTTGAACGTTTCATGTTCCTGCAAAACTTACTGCCACATCTGCACCGGAATGCCTTAACAGGATGATCAAGGTCATCAAAGTCAATACCATAATCCTGCATGCAGCACATATAGCCTCTTAATAGGGACAAACAAAATAATATGAGCACCCAGTTCTCTTCTCAAACCACATATGAAGAACGATAAACTGCTCTCATATATACAGGGACAGATTTAGAGTGGGGGCAGCTGCCCCAACTGGAATCCTGAAAACAGATGTTTTTATTAGAAATAAACCCTAAATTTTAGCAATTCTTGTTTATTGCCCCCGCTGAAGTTTATGAAAACAAGAGAGACTATTAGCAGCAGACATAAAATTTCTAAATTTTTGTTTTTTTTTCCCAAATAAACTGTGAGATACATTTAAGTAATGGGTATTTTATAATGTATATGGATGTACTAACAAAATAAAAAAAGGGCAATTTACTCAATGGTTCAAAATGTGAGTAAAATTATTATTGGAAGCCAATAGTAATGTCCTTTGACATTAACTCGTAAAAACAAATTCAAAAAGTTAAAAAGGCACCAAAGAGAAAGAAAATTGTAAAAATAAAAAGTAAGAGAACTAGCCGACAAGAACCAAACAACTAGGAAAAAGAAAAAGGGAAAAACAAAACAGTAGAAAAGGAAATGTAATTCATTCAGTGTAAATGCCGACATAAGATTCAGCCAAGAAAACAAAATATACACCTGTTGACATTTTTTCCATCTTAACTTGATCAAGTAAGCTTTATTTGATAATTTGATTCTTTTTTTTTTTGTTTAAGTTCTTAGATTTAGATTAATTTTAATGGCGAAGTTATGTGAAATGTTTTTTATTCTTTAAAGTTATGTGATACATTTTCTTACTGTTCTAGAGTTAATTTATTTAATTACAACACTTATAGAAACATTCTAGGGTCAAATCCCCAAGCTAACTCCCTTGTGAATAAGGAGGCTTGATATCACAAATGGATGGTGGACAGGCAAGGTTAGGTTAGAGTAACTGATTGAATCTGGTATGATAAAAAGTACAAGAACATCTCTTCTCATGCAAAATCAATAATCTGATCATTGTCTTTCTTCTTTTCTTTTTTAACCTTATGAAACGAAACAAATATTAACTACAAGCTTCAGAATTAAATAACTATAAATAATCACTCACTCACCCAAGTCAGCTCTTCAAGGGCATCAATTTCTCTTGTTGTGAAGAAGGCTAGCTGCACACAGAAAACGCTCTATTAGACTTGCTATTAAAAAGAATTGAAGCCAGCAACACAAATAGGACTAGGAAGATGGATAAAATCAAAATTTCTTACATGATAGTAATGAAGATCTGGAGTCTCCACTTCAACAGGAATTTCAATTAAGTTCGCATCTAAGCATCTAGCAACATAAGAAAAAAAGTTAGAAATTCTAAATCTCAATTCATTCAAGGTACTCAAGTTACTTCTTAAAATGACTTTGCCATCATGCATTTGCATATTCCATTGAGAATGCTAACTTCTAATAGTTGGCTTAAAGATGTAAAAATAATGGATTGCATCTCCAGTCATATACCTTAACTAATAAAAGTAATTAAAACAAAACCTCAATAATGGAAATTAAGTCATTGTTTCAGGTAACCTTTGCATATCTCCTAGTGCTAATATCTCAAATGATGTCCCAACTTACAAATATGGGACCTTTATTAAAGTCATCAAAATATATTACTAATGTCACAAAAAAGATAAAAAAAAAATGCACAACATATAACAAGATCCACAAGCAATCATAAATTTTGAAGAACACAGTTGGAAAAAGTTAAGGGCACAGAAAGTCTAATGCACAACAATATATATACAATTACCTATGATTGACGAACCTAGCGACATTTCCATAACATGTGGCATCCAAACAGAGGGCTTCTTCATCCTTGGAAACTCCCTTCAACCCCCAATTAGCATCCAGCAGGATTGGACATGTATGTTTCTCTGTGTTCCTTGCATACAACTCAGAGATGGTGAGTATTTCACCAACAAACTCACAAATGAAAGCTCCTTTGGGAAGCTTCTCTAGAGTTCTGAGGCCCCAACCTTTTCCATCAGGTGTCAAGAACACCTAACATCCAGAGTAAATTAGTCATGGAAGACATAGGGGTTTACAAGCTCAAATTCAAAGGTTAATGCCTTAATTTGAAAAGCAACGTAATTGTAAGAACTTGTAACTATAACAAGGACAAGGGTATGTACAAGACTATGATGAAGCCAAACCTGCAATTTGTAATTTACACCTCTCTGCACCACCCGATTGCCACACTGCTTATTGCAGCCACATTTGCTCCAACATTCTTTGATAACTTTTCTCTTTAAGTGACCCTTACAAGGTTCTGGAAAGTCATCTTTCTTTGATCTCTCAAGGGGGCACTCTGTACAATTAAGGAAACATTGTCGTTGAGGATCACGAGTCATAGAGATACACTCTTCCAAGAAGTCCTCCCTGACAACACCTGCAGAAGTATACACAAAATTTCCCACAGCTTGACAAGCACATGCACAAGGCTGCTCAGACAAGAGACAATCCCCAAAACATGTCGGACAACAACTTTCATTTCCAATCAGAGAAAGAGAGAATTTAACATAGGCATTTTGAAATACCAGATTCTCTGATATATAGTGAAATGGTGGTGGAAAATCTTTATTAATTTCATTTACCCATGAAATTTCAACTTTTTCTTCTCCCTTGGTTATGTCACTTGCATCATGAAGCCACCTTAATTCATTAGGTGTAAGTTGATGCTGCTGAACAACCACCAATTCCTTCCCCTCCACATTGTCAACACATCCATTTGCAGAGCACTGAACATCGACTGTTCCATTTAACATCTTGGCTGGTAAGCAACCATTTTCCTTACTGCTCTCAGCATCAAGAGCATCCCTTGCAGGAGATTTCTTCAAAAGATCAAGACCTGGCATCACATTACCTTCCTGCGATTGATTCGAGGAATTAGTTGCCAATTCCGAGACGCACTCACACATATCATTCAGAATTTTGATGACATCAAAATTTGGGTCAATGAGTTTATATGATTGGAGACATCTCTGCTCCATCAGTTCTCTTAGTTCATCTATACTAGGCAATTGGAAATTCGATCTTCCAAGAGCAGAATTGTAGCTTAGAGAAATCTTCACCTCTCCCAATGGTGATGAGGCAATTTCCAGGCTAGAAGGAATTTCATCAGGAACAGTAGCAAGCTCGCAGTTGATGTGCCTCTCACTCATTGAAGCTGAAGCACCAGCACCTACATTTTCATCTGCAAACAGAGATTCTGGATGTTCCTGCCAATTTGATTTTCCAGTTGAAACATGCCCAATTGGCGAATCTCTTCTGCTTAATGAATCTATTATAAAAGTATTATGGTAAAATAAATAAATAAACACAGGATTAAAAATGGTAGAAAATAGAACAGAAACAAACTTAAGAAAAGCATCACTTACAATTTCAATATCTAACAATGTAAATTAGTATACTCTCTATCCCAAAGATGGATTTATACACAACAGATTACAACAATCGCAGAATAAGTACCAACAACCAAAGCGTTATACATTTCAGTTGACAAAAAATCCTCATTGCAGTATTATATTTCCTTAATATAGACTAACAAAATTTACATATTAAGGTGGCAAGCTGCATTTTCAAGAAGAAATCATGACTGTGTAAGACCCAGAGATTATGCTCGGCCCAATTAACAGGTTAACAAGTATAGAGGTCTAAATACTATGCCAAAAGTTTATGGGCCTTTCATGACAATTTTTTGAGTAAATTAGAAAAGCTTGATGACAGACCATAAATATGGTGCCCCCAATTTTAACTCAAGAAGCACATAAACAATCCACTACAAGCCTATCCACTTGATAGTACAGATTCCAAAATTGTTCATAACATGCAACATGGCTAAATGAAATTAGAAGCTAGAGTTGCCACAGGGCTAATCAAATATTGATTTGAAATGGAAAGAGGGAAAAAACATGTCATTCATATGGGAATTACAATAACTTACCTGGATGAATAACTGCAATAGGAACCTCATCCTGTTGCATGTCATCAGTAAATGGCTCTTCCTTGGGTATGATCAGTGCATGAATATCAGGCACCCTTTTCTTAGTAATAACACCAGAACAAGGTGCTGGATCTTTAATGCACAAGGCAAGAGATACTCTCTCAGGGCCTTTCTCATTGGAAGCAACATGAGGTGACATAGGTTCCTTTCCTTTGTAGCTAACATGCATTTGAGTTGAATGTAAATTTTGATCATATCCTTCCAGTACTGCCAAAGGCATAGGAGCTACAGGTTGCTTGCCTTTATTCCTACCACCCTGATGGGGTGAAACAGGACCAGGAGCCGTAGGCTGCAGTAAAACACGACCAGGTGAAGCAGGAAGGCATTCTGTCATATTTCCAACATTGCACTGAAGTGACTGCTGCTGCAAAGAAGCAGGAGGTAGTTCATCCTCCTCAACTTTAGGCTTTTTTAAAAGGGTCCCAGCCACATCAGTGCTGCCATTGTTATGAGAAGATGATGCCAAACATTCTTGGTTTTTCAAACGTATTCTTTTCAAGGGGCGTACAAGCTCATCAGGCACTGCACCTTCTTCCACAGTATCTTCCTCCTCCTAGTTAAGACAATCAAACACTATCAGTTGACAAAGATGATAGATGAGAACAGGAAAGAAAAAAAAATTATGCAGTACCAGCATAAGTCAGAGAGATGAATCACATACGTCGCATTTCCGGCCTTTTTTAGGTTCTGACACCTGAAAAGCAAGATCAGTATCATAGACACATCAAGTGATAAGACTTGTAACTAAACCAAAACAGATAAAAAAAAAAAAGAAATTTACCTTACTGTCCTCCTCTTCAAAGATAGCATCAGCAAGAACTCTGTAATTTTCTGCTGCAATTAGCTCCCAATTTTTATCATACACCTTTAGAAGTTTCTTTAACACTGGTTTCACTTTTTCTTCGGTAATTCCTATTTCCTTCATCGAGCGGAAGGCCTGCACAACTCTGGGGTTTGGTGCCATGATGCTTTCTCAGCTATCAGTTTTGGAGGCTTGCAAACACTAACTGTTTATACCCACATTTTCCCATTTTGTTGAGAGATGGTAAGCAACAACAGTCAGTCCAGAAACAACAGTAGAAAAGTAGCAGCAGGAAATTACAAATACTGTATTATTTTAAGTATTAAAAGCAAAAAATCCAAAGATGAAAGATTGGCATACAGAACTAACTAAACAAATAATTAACTTACCTCAATCAGAGTGAGAATTAAACACTCTTTTCTAACTCTAAAGTCTACAGCTAAATTGAGAAAATTAAACGATAACCCAAAGATGAAAGATTGGCACATATTACTAACTAAATAAACAATTAACTTAACTTAATCAGAGTGGGAAACAACAAACATTCTTTTAACTTCTGAAGTCTACAACTACATTAATATAATTATATGATAATCCAAAGATGAAGATCAGCATATATTTCAACGCATTCTTGAATTAATACACTTATATACTTGAGATAATTCAAGTTCAAGAAATAAACCTAAAATCTAAAGCCTTCATGATTACATGCAAAAGGACAAGCCAGTTAACATTTTACCTTACAAGCCCAAACCCCTGAAGAAAAAGTCGATCTTTTAAAACCTAGAAACAGAAAATACAGCAGGAATTAGTTTGACACAAAAAAATAAAAAAAAGTTGCTTTTTTGTTCCCACTTTTTTTTATTTAAAATTTATTTATTTTTTCTTCAAAAAGAAAGTCTACAACCTCGGAAAACAAACAAGCTCATTAAGTAAGCCTAATACTAGCATTTGAATCTGTTATCATATATATATATATAATCGTACCAACAAAACGAAAACAAAAGAGGGGGGAGGGGAAAAGACAGGTTTATTCTTTAAAGGCTAAAAAGCCTTGACTTTGCAATTTCTTCTTCTTTTTACAGACTCTTTCGGAGACCAAACAACTCTATTTCACCGAGCTTACTGCATTACCAAATCCCGTAAAGTTCAATACTTTGCTTATGAAGGGGAAAAAAATTCTCTAGCGGGCATTTTCTCAGCAGTCAAACAGAACATAAGCCGAGAAAATTATCAAAACCAAGTGCAATGGCGAAAGCAAAACAAATGCAGTAATCGGAGACAGAGAAAACGAAGCGTTTCGGATTCAGACTCAAAGACGTTTCATAGAGAAAACGGAGAGTCATTTGCTAAAAGAGAAAAACAAAAGCGCAGTGACAGTCAGTTGATTTTGAAACGAGAAAGAGAAAGCAAGAATCGGAGACAACAGCATACCACAATTCCTCTGTGAGAGTAAACACCACACATGAGAAACATAGGGCAAATATTAGACAGCTTTCAAATTTTTGATTTCTCAATATACACGCGAAAAAGAAATGATCTTTTTCCTTTTTAAATTGAGGGAGAGTTTAATTTTAATCGATTACTCGGTTATTTATTAGCGCGTGTGCACACGCAGTACGGCTGAGGAGAGTACAAAGCGGTGGCGCGTGCATGTAAGGCAAGGATGTAGTGGAGTGGAGGGAGTAGGGGGAAAGGCGTGAGGAGTCAGCTGCGCTGATGAGGTGGGCGTTTTTTACTTTTGTTTTATGTGGAGATTTGGGCTGGGCGGGTCGGGTCAGGTAAGTTCCCGGATGCAGGACAGGCATCCATGTGACTACAACCAAATAAACGCATTAGTTTAGTTTTATCATAGTCATAGAATTTATAATAATAATAATAATCCAGAATTAATTGTATAACTAGTGGTCAGACCAATTTATATAAAATGACAGTATTGTATTTTTACCTTTATGTTATGGTATTAATAAATAAGTTAATTTAATTCCTTGAATCACCATAAATCCTTTAAATGCAATCCATGTTTATAAATTTCAACCATGCATGATAGGTGAGAATCCTAAAACACTTTGACATATTTGGAACATCACATCGTCACAGTCGTATATTCACTATGTATATGACCATAAGGAGAGAAAGTAAAGACAACAGAACAAGAAATGAAGAAGGTATGACAGGCTGGGAGCTTCTCTCGTTAATTTCTTCAAGCATTTCTATTAACAACTGCAAAATTAAAATAGTGAGCAACTTGTGAGGACAAAAGTCTGTTAGTGTGCAAAACATTGGCATGTGCAGTAGGAGTAGGATTACAAAGAAAACTTACTGTTTTCCTTGATGTCATTGATGATGGCAACCCATTCATGGAAAGCATCGTTTTCAATTTCAAATCGACTGGGTACACTAGGTCTTGCAGGATCATATTGCAGTTGCATGACAAAGGTTATAAGAGAGCCATTGGAGTCAAGGCCCCCTGGACCGTCAGGCATAATGGCAAAACCTGAAGCCTCCACATCTGGTTTCATACCTGCTTCAAAACCACTATCAACTCCTGAACTAATATGACGCTGGATTTTTTGTTCACTCATTGGTCTGGATATGATAAAGCTGCAGTAGTCGTCCACTGTGGCTTCTTGCAAGCAGTAATACTGATGCTGTGGGCATCAAAAGAATATAATTAGCAAACATGCTGAAATTGGTTGCAGAGATGGGAAAAGGGGTTAGTTATTTCCAACCTCTCCAGTCGTCCTGTGTAGAGTAATGCTATTACTGCGATCTATTGTCACAAAGTGGTACAACCGATCAAGCACCCCAGAATTTTGGAGTCGAAACAACTGCAATTTATTTATATATATATATATATATATAAATTATTCTTAGTTGGCCCACGTCCACCCAAAGAGAGAGCAGTCACAAGGAGCAGGCACAAAACTGCATACCTGTAACTGTACGTTCCATTCCTTCAGAAATTGAAAAACTGAGACTGGTTTTGCTTTGAGGTGGAAACTGGTTGTGCCAATGTAAGCATATCTACCTTGAGATTCTTCGTTAACTAAGATCTTCAGTTTCTTCTTTTCACTAATATCAGTTAAAACAGCTGGATCAAGCGTGTCAGCAACACATCTCATAAAGAAGCGCTTCATGGATTGTGTTAAAGCCAACACAGAATAATGACCTGCACAAAAACATTACCAAGTTATGGCATCTATCTATATATGAGAATTACTCAAGTTAAAGTTCATCTAAACAAGACAAAAATGAAGTGAGAATACCTAAATCATGCACAACCAAATCGCCATCATGAACAAGTACGCCATTTTTACGCTGCAAATTCCTTAGCAACGTACTAATCCAACGCTGTGCACAGAATGCCAAATTTGAGTTTATTACTGAAGAGTAGATGTTTTCACTCACTTCATCCACCTCCACATTTTCAACCCAAACAATCTATATATTTAGAAGAAGAGACTACTTCAGTCTGCAGCACATCCAAATAAGAAATATATAGATATATAATTTTATTACCAACTGCAACCATAAGTTGTAAAATCTTTCATTTCCTTTACACACCTCACAACTATCTTGGTCATGCTCCCTGATTGCTACCCCTGATGGTTTCCTCAAACTATCAGTTCTCGACGTAGGATCAACATAATAGATTGCAACATCAATAATGGCATAAAAATTTGGTGTAATCTGTTTATCGAATCGTAAGAAAAAAAAATCCCGAGTTGGCACAAAATGCGTTGGTAATTGATAAATTGCACGCACCTATAATATGTATATATAAAAAGATTAGATATAGATTGTAAAAGTATGTGTATATTGCTAGAATTCAAATCAAAATCAAACCATCCATACGTTGATAGATGAAAACAATCTCCTTGTGAAGTGCTAGTGAGTTACCTCCACTACGTGCTGGATTGAATTATCATCTTCTCTCATACGTTGAAGAACATGACTGCAGTCATGGCCAACTCCGCAGTAGACAATTTGGAAAAATAAATTAGCCCAATGATTCTGGGAACATGTATACAACAAAAGAATGAAAGAGGGGCAAATAAAATAGTACCACGACTCCACAAGAAGTTCAAGCATTTCGTAAAGTCACAATAAGGAGGAAACCAAATCTGAGGAGACAGTAGCAAAACATAGTTCTTGTTTACTTATAAAGGCGAGTTGACCCCTTTAATAGCTAACGACAGATGCCAAATATATGTATATGTATGTATTATTAGTGGAGAACTTGCATATTACATCCATATCTAATCTCAATGAGATAAGCAAAAACAAAACAACTGACCACATCCATCATCATAGAGGCCATTTGAGATGCAGGAACTGGAATAATTGCACTTGCAGTAGAGACTTCAGTCTTTCTTCCAGCTGGTGTACGAGTTCGGAACTCCCTAATAACAGTATCCCCAGGAAGAAAACCTTCTGCAGGGTTGCCAGGCAACCAACTCCTCTCTCTCATAGCTATTCTCATGAATTCATGATAAGCTGCCTTACAGACATTCTTTGCCATTTCCGCACTTAATTCTAGGTACTCAATACTATCATCTGACTTATCTGAGGATACTGCATCAGTAATGGATTGATCTGAGTATTCTTCGGCATCTGTGTATTGATCTGAAAAAACTTCACTTGTTCCCTCTTGATCTTCAGAAGCTTCATTTTTCTCATCTTGATCACTAGATTCTTGAATTTGGTTTTGATCATTCCCAGGAGGAAGGGGTTGATGAGGGTACATATTTTCTGCACAAGAAAATCCTTGGGAACAGCAACACAAACACATTAGCTTGTTGAAGGTCCTGGCGGCACATTTCTTGCAGTAGTTAAACTTAAATGAGGAACAAATTTTTAGGTTGCAATAAACTATTTCTAACATGAAGCTTCTGCCTTCCCAAAAGTAACGATCTGTAGAAAAGTAGAAATAAGACTTGCTCTGGGCTTTGTTTAACTAAAAGAACAAGATTGCCAAGAATAGATAAGCAAACTCAAAAGTAGAGATTTTTGAGTTCATGATAAGATGAGAAAACTAACCACACAAAATCTAGAAAAAAAATGGGGTTATGAAACTAAAGATTTCTCAACATGGGTTTTTGTTCTACTAATCTATAAATTTGGATTCAAACTCCACGCCATGAATTTGGGTTAATGATGAAAGGATTTCCATAGGCAAAATCATTAAGAAAGAACAAGTTTGCTTCTCCAGGAAAAAAATATGAATGGAAGTACAAAGCAAAACAGAAGTTAAGAATTGAAAGAATAGAAATTTAACCTTCACAAGATTATTAGTCGCTGTTTGTATTGCTCTGGACTTTCTCCAAGAAGTCGTCTATGTTTCTTTCTTCCGTTTCGGCTATAAGAGAGAGGGAGAATTACTTTCTGTTTTCTGTTAAGATTCCCGCCAACCAAGAATTAATTCAAATGTGAATTCTAAATTTTTTGTTTTTCAATCAATAAATTCTTTTTAATGATTGAGTTATATATAAAGAGAGCTTGAATGTTAATTTTGTGGGATCATAATGAGAACATCATCAACAAAGTGCATGTATGTCTAAACAAGTTGTGCACTACTTACATTTATAAATTTTTAAAAATCTCGTAAGAAACACCTTGTATGCTTCTTCTTTTGAAGAATTTAGCACGACATTTTCCTTCTCGCCGAACCCAGCAGCGATGATCGTCATCAACCACATACCTTACTTGCTTCCCTTTGGAAAGTGCTTGGTATAGTTCAAATTTAGATTGAAGTTATTCTTATACCCCTTTGTCAAGAATCTATCGTAGCAGTCATAAACTGGTTATCCAATTTCCTTACGCATTCAAATATATGCATATTCTACTTGTATGAAGGCCCAAATAAAATTGGAGTTGCAGAGCTGCAGCTCTGAAATGACTGGCCAACTCACTCTGCAATGCGCAATTCACTAATGGAATACTGTAACATTTATTTTCCAATTTTGACATCAATTCTGAACCAAACAAAGAAAAGCTGAAGGTTTGAAACTTGCAATCATTGATATATATAATGCATTGCAAACCTTGAAAAACAGGACACAAGATCTCATCCAATCGGATAAAACTAATTGTGGAGTTGAAAAGCTCCACCCTTTTTATTATAATTTTTAGAGCAATAGGTAGCAGGATTGATCCTAGAACTCATGACAGATTATCCATATATTGATCAGAGCTACAAATTGATTGATGTTAAGCATAATAATAGGCAAAACATATACATTCTCAAAGTCCCCAAGGTAACACCTAGGCTGATGGTATTTCCAGGTTCAAAATGAAGCCTTGCTGAAATTATGAGAGAAACATATCTTCTTTTTCACCAACAACTGCAAGATAAAAGTAAGAAATCTGAGAGAAGATATCTCTTAAAAATTGTGATTATGAGAAAACCACTGCAATATGAGTGCAGGATATATAAGAAACTTACGCTCTTCTTTCAACTCCCTGATGATTTCCATCAGATCACTGAGAAAATCTTCTCTAACAGTATCAAGCGTAACAGGGCCTTCTGTACGATCATAGTGTAATTGCACTAGAAACGTTATGAGAGAACCATCGCATTGGAGGCCTCCTGGGCCATCGGGCATTATAGCAAAACCAGAAGTCACAGTGTCCAACACTCTATCATCACCTTTCTGATAAACGCTTTGGACTCCCGAAACAATGTTAAAATTGACATGATCGTCATTAATTAGTTTGGATAGGATAAAGGAACAATATTCATCCCTCGTGGCTTCTTGTAAGCAGTATCTGGTTTCCTATCACATTGAAAGTGGAAAGTCAAGAATATAAGCAAACACCTGTAGAGAGATAATGAAATCTGTTGGGGGAAATTGGCATATTATTAGTGAGAAAACTTCAACCTCTTCCACCCTCTTCCTGTGCAGAGAAATGGTATTACTTTTATCATCAGTAATAAACTTGAACAATTCTTCAGGCTCCTCCTCAGTATCAGAATTTGAAGTCGAGCGAAACTGCAATACATACATATATATATATATATATATATGTTGTAGTTCATCAGATCAGAAATACACAATAACCCGTAACGGACTAAAAGTTGCGTGGATAACTTCATACCTGCAACTGTAAATCCTTTTTCATTAAAAAATGAAAAACTGAGAGCGGCTTAGCTTGAATATGGAAACTGTTTAGGCCGACATAACCAATAAATTCTTCAAGTGTTTTGTTATGCAGAAGCCTGATTGGGTCTTCAGCATTAGTTAAGACAGAAAGCAGATCTTCGTTAGGATGTTCAGAAAAACATTCCATATAGAAATGCTTCATGGATCGGGTTAAAGCCAAGAGATAATCACCAGCTGCACCACAACATGAACAAAATGATAGCATCAAGGGTTCAATGTCCAAGAATAAAAAACTGAAATTAAGGAGAATAAATTACTACCGCTATAATGCAAATCGATTTTGACATCAATAAATGTACTCTTGTCACGCCTCAGCTTCCACAACAGTGTGCTTATCCAATGATTTGCACATAATGCAAAGTTTGAACTGGTTTTTGAAGAGTACATGTTTTCTCTGGGTTCATCCACCTCCACATTCTCAACGTATATAATCTATACAAATTAAGAGAAACATACGCACATCACTTAAAAAGTAAGTGTAGGGATTGTTGATCTTCTATGGATTTTTCTGCAGTAAAAATACTACACTGGAAAAGCTTTTGCATTCAATGATTGAATTGCACTGTACTATGAAAGCAATTTATAAAAGAATACAAACCTCACAATCCAGAGGTCCACGTTCCCTGATTATTACCCCTGATGGTCTCTTCCGACTATTACAGTTTGCAGAACCATCACCCAAATAATGGCTTGAGATATCAACAACTATATAAATTGACTTCATTATCTCTTTCAGATAGCGGAAAAAATCAAAATATCGTGTTGGTACAGATGTTGTTGGTAGCTGAAGCTCCGCATACACCTGTGACATATATAAACAAACATTATATGGCGGTATAGGAAAAGAGGACAAAATATTAGTTAATAAAATAATCTTGCTTGCAGTTTCAATTGACAAACATTTACGGGTTGATGGATGACAAATGACAAGTGTTTCCAAGTGGGAAGTGCCCAAGGATCAGTTTACCTGTACTACACCGTCGATGGCAGTATCAGTATTTCTCAAATGCTGAAGAATGCGCCTAGGAGTGTATTCCTCTCCATAGTTGACGATAGGAAACAGTGATTTAGACCAATTTTTGTTCTGGGAACATATATACAACAAGAGCATAAGATGGATAACTAGAATACAACAAGAAGTTCAGTAAGTTATATATACAACAAGAGCATAAGAAGGATAACTAGAATACAACAAGAAGTTCAGTAAGTTAGGAGACGGAGAAAACAAAATATAAGGAGACAGCACAGCAGCAAAAAGTTATATCTTATGCCCGCAAATTATTTATACTTAAAAGCAAGTTCGACTATTCATGGCTAATCGAAGTTGCCAATAAGAAAGTAGTTAAAAATTAAAGATTTTGAAGTAATATAAGAAAGCAAGCACTGACAACATCTCCATCTATAGCGTATAAATAAGTGGCATTCCTAAATGTCTGAGCTGCTCAGTGAATCCATTCAATTACGAACTACTGATTTGGCATTGATACCCCACACTTGCATGTCACATATCCATTCCAACTCTCAACAAAAAAGGAGTCTACGAAATATATGAAATACTCACCACATTCATCAACATAGTGACCATTTCAGATGCACGGACATTTGGAATAACTGCAGTTGCAACGGAGGATTCTAACTTCTTTCCTGGAAGAGCAGGAGTTTGAAACTCGCTTACAATATCATCCAGACTGCCCAACGCAGGCTTCATGCGAACCCAAGTGCCTGCTTCCTCTGCCACTCTCATGACCTCCTGGTAAGCTGCCTTAAAGTAATTGTTTGCACATTGTAATTTTTGGTACTCACTGACGCGTCGTTGATACGTTTTAAACCTAACCCAAGAGGCTGCTATGGCTTTGCCTTTATCTGCAGAAGGTTTATTTTCTTCTTGATTCGGAGAAGCTTCAAGTGGAATGTCTTTACCGAGATCTTCTATTTTAATGCTAGAGGGTCCAGGAAACTGCAGCACAACCCCAAAGTAGATAAATTGTTAAGGTGTAAACTTTGGCAATAAAAAATTGAACTATCACCTTAAATTCTCTAATCACAATCAAAGACAGAAGTTTTCTTTCAATTGTTTCAAAAAGAGAAGTGGAAAGACTACCATACCGCTCTACAGTCCATATGAGATTTTGAACACCTTGGCTCCAAGCCTGTAGTAGGACACAATATATCAGAACGTAAGTTAAATTTATAAAAACACAGTTTCCAAAGTTTCTCATTCGCTCTCCAATGTGAAATATGTTGGTCAAACTCAATGAAAAATGAAACTGAATAAGATCATTCGTCCAAAGATAAAATATACTGACTGAAACTAGAAGAGAGTTACGAAAGGTTTACAGAATGGACTAAGAATAATGAATAGCAACAAGGAAAGTAGGACTTAACCTATAAGAATACTTATTTATCGGGAGTCTGTATTAAATAGGATAGGTGCAATGTACAAGGGAGCAGAGCATTCACTGCTGTCTACGGTCTAGAGTATGGTTACCTATGCTGGATGTTTAGCATGATGTGGAAATGGCAGAATGCCATTCTTCGATATCTTGTGTTCTCTTTCAAGAATGAATAAAATTCTTTCTAGCTTATCAAAAAAAAGAAAAGTATACTAACGTAATACAGAACTTCTATCTAGAAATGCTAACGTATGTGAAACGGATAGAAAAAAGGGTTAACAGAGTTGCCGAGGATAATGAAAGAGCTTTTCAAAGATTGTTAAGAACTT